GTTCTTTTACTATCTCAAAATGTTTTTCTTAGTCTAGACTTCAGTTTGCTTTTTCTTTTTGTTATTGACATTTGAACAACTTGAAAAAGTGTCAGTTTGTTTTTTTGTGCACCTTAATAAGCAGCATGTGTCACACAAAGGTACAACTGAAGGACAAAATAAAGAACTTGCTTGCTTTACAACATTTCAGTCTGTCCAGGCTTCATCAGATTCAGTCTAAATAAAAAACACATTGGAGGAAGGTCAGTAGTCTGCCAACTAGACGGTTGGTGGTCCTGACGACTTCAGCTCAGAGTAAAACTGCACTTTGTTCCTGATCTACAAATTGATGTGTGAGTGAACAGGTGAATACGTCTTGTAGTGCAAAAGTCATTTGAGTGGTCGATAAGAGTATAAAAGTGCTGTTTGGCACAATATCTGTGATTTCCAACCACAATATGTGTATTACTGCTCTGCTTCAGACATTGGTCTCTTTATTGCAGTAAAAACGGCCTACTCAACATTCATAGACACAATATTTCCATTATCTTGTACTAATTAAATAACAGCTTGGTAATTACTGATAAAAGTGCCTCGTTTTAAAATTCACACCATGTCTGTCAGTAATGAAGGTCATTTGGGCTTTTCTTAGAAAGGAAAACAGATGAGAAATGAGTTGAACTCCTCCCACTCACATTAATTTCACCTACTTGGTATAATTAGGAACAATCAGTGTCTTTCCAATTTGAGGCCTTACATTTTCCCTCTTTCTTAGCTAAAACTGGTCGAATCTCCAGTCCTTGGAACAAGAGTCCAATCGTTTTTCAGCCTTTTTAACTAGAGCATATTACAAAGAGGAGTTTGTCTTTTTGGTGTCAAAGTTGTCCCTACAAACACTTTGACACCTGACTGTATGAGGATAATCTAAGCCCCTTGTATACACTGGATGACTACCCTACTATGACCTTAAAATATCAGCCTAAAGGTCTTGGCAAGGATTTTAGAGAATACGAATTGTGGTCCAATGGATTGTGATCCTCATTGTAGGTTGTGAAGACTTCTGAAGCGAGGTTGTAGTTAAATTATTTTGGTGGCAGTGTACTGGAGTCTTGTGTGGGTGGGGGAACATGGTGGCAATGTGTCCAGAATGTGGGACAATCATTTACTGGCACAGCTTAGTCATTGAGGATCTGAAGAATGACGGGCCACATTGGCAATGTCATTGATGGGCTCAAAGTTGTTGCAATGGTATTGGCTGCACCAAAAGCATTGCAATAAGTTTCCCTAAACAACCAATGGAGTTGTGCCATACTTTCACTGTGTGGCTGCACCAACCAAGCCACTCTCTCCACTCACTGTGCTCAGCCCTTATTTGTTTGCCTTTGGTACACACAGCAAGAAGCAACTGTTTTCATCACGGACAAACTTGCTGATAAAAGGTGGATGTGGTTGAGGTTCTTTATATAACCCCTTCACCTGCATTTCTTCATGCTGCTAGACGGTGTTTCCTCCTCCACAGCAAAACTAAAGTTGTTGATAGAGGCCTAGAAATCCTCCAAATATAGTAGAAAATTCCAAATTGCACCGTGGTCTAATAACACCTGCAGACATGGAACTTGTGTTAGTTGTGTCGTAGTGCACTGCAATCTTCTAGATTGTGGCTGCATCCTGACATTGTCTGAAAGAGTTGTGCTAAGGCAGGGCCCAATGCGGGGTGTAATCATAGACATGCATGGTAGTATTGTTTGGAGAAGATGTCACTGATGTATAGAGCAAGGTGAGCATGCATGAGGGTATCTCAGGGATGCAAGAAAAGACAGGGACAGCCTATTCAGTGAATACTGAGCAAAGCAGCTTCATGATCACCTTCACGCTGTAGGTTTTACAAAATTTGCCACAATCCAGTCATGTTGCAGTAGTACCCATTAGAACATGTAAGTCATAGAGAACATAGTGGGCTGTCATCCAGTGTAAAGGGGTGTAGACTGTATGCATCTAGACCCCTGATGGGAGCTTTGAAGCTGAAGACGGAACAGGACCAACCTTTCCTGTCAGCTGGTTCCAGTGCAAGTTTTAGGTTTCGCCCCATCCATGATAATGAACAGGACATCAACCTTCGTAAAACTAAAAACGCACATTAGATCATTTGTTCCAGGTGTTGACGCTTGTTGATTCAAGTGGGTCTTACCTTACTGCAGTATTTCATGCTTAAAAGAAAGCTCGTGCAGTGTCATGAGTGTTTGTGGGAGATAGATGGAAAATAAAAGTCCCACGTTGCCAGACCTGGTTCGAAAATACAACATGGCAGCTCCCATAAACCAACC